ATTTATCAACTAAGGAAATGTGTTCTATTAAGTTAACCAAAGTTAATCGAGTAGTGCCAGTCTACTCGCAGTCTGTCCATGAAAAAAAGAGCGATAGTTAACTCTTGCCATGTTCTGGCATCGAGGTCACTCATATGACGTGCGCACTTCGTGCCAGATCTGGGTATCCTGCATCATGTATCCCTCAGTACGCGAGCCAGACACGGTACCAACACCTGGTAACATCAGCTCATTGCCAGCAGGATGCGAGGACGTGACGAGATAGCGTTGTTGTTACATTGCGACAGGCCGAAAGAGAGACAGGAGAAACGTGGTGCAAATTACATTTTGATTGAGGCCTTATTTAAAGACTTCAATCCATCAACAAAGATTCTTTTTTGAAGTGGTGTGGTTATTAGAATCGCGTCGCCTCACCAGAATAAGAGTCCTTACCGCTTTCCAACTAACGTCTGTAGATGAGTGATGTATAGCAATTGTTTGGTTTTTTTTCTAGATCCAAGCTCCTCTTTTGCTTGATGTTCCATTTCAGTGCGTGTAGCAAGTCCAGAATTTTTGACAAATTGATGTCGCCTTAGATTAATCAGAAAGAAAAACACCTTAGGCTTGGATAGCAAAGCATAAAACGTAAGAATAGGGAAGGTGGGAAGATCGATGCAGAGTACTGATAAAGTTAAGATATGGAGGTGAAAGCTCAGAGTAAAGTAAATGCCCGGGTAAGCCGAGCCGTACTAGAAAATTTTTACCAATCCGAGCTCGTTACTAATACTAGTCCTACTATTTTGCACTATTTTGTTACACCTAATTTCATTCAATGTAGCTCAAACAGCTAACCTCTTGCAAAAATGAATAACAGGTAATATGAATACTGATGAAGGAAAATGTGTATCTCTTCAATACTTCTGCGTTAATGCACTGGATGCGGTGCTTAATGTTCGATGACTAGCGCAGGACAAGTTTCCTTAACCTTTCCTTATCCCTTAACCCACGGAAACGCCTCAACGCCATGTTCGCAACTAACTTAGACAATGTTTCGATTTCACGGTTGTAACAAATTTCAGGGGAATTACCATCCAAAATTTCTTTACAAATTTTTCACTTATAACACGGATTTACTTGTTTGAAATTTTATTCAAGAGAAATCATAGTCAGCAATATCTTTTTCAAACTTTCCCTTACTCTGCTTTTACTACTGTTTCTTACGTAATCCTCGTCGTGCAATCATACGGTATTCCCACAAGATGCGTTCCGCTGCAATATTGTCACTACATGCTTAGGAAGCGTGTACTTCTCACTGCTGCTCTGCTTTTTTTTGTAGACGTTGTAACATTTTGAATTTCAAATGCATGTTTTCCCTCTTTATGCTCCATTCTTCTTTTAGCACTGATATAAAACACGTTTTATAGCATATTCCAAGCATTGAGTAAATATTAAATCAAAACAGCCAACAGCGATAAATGTAAGGCGATATGAAGGAATCATCAATACAAGGGCCCGTAGTAAAGTTCCCCTCAGGTGAGATGATCTGAACTGAAGGGGCTAGTCTAAGTCCACGAGTCCACATGATTCCGATTTCCTCCGCCATAGTATAAGGATACAAAGTCCGCGGACGGATCACGGTCATGCGAGATTCTGCAGTGAGATGAACTGAGCCCCTAAGGAGAGGGTTCGCCTGGAGGGCCATACAAAGGAAATAGTGTGTCTTTTATGAGAGTCCGTCAAGGGAACTCGTAATTTACTCGGAACCAAATTATGAGCTCCCCTGACGAGGTGGACGTTTGCGTCAATTGTGGAGCATCGTCGACCCAAAAGTGCACACTTTGCTAGCGATTTACCCAAGATTCGCTCCTAATCAATGGTTCAATTCGAAACCGTTCTTCTAACACTTTACGGTGCTTGATCCTTCATGTAATTCCTACACATTGACAAAAGAGATCGACACTGAACGGATTCGAACCATGGTCAGTTGATCAATGGCCGCCACCTCAACCACTGAACTACCAGTACTTAACACGATGCGTCTTGTAAAAGTCTAATTGGAGTTGATTGCGCATGCCATGGATCTTTGCAATCAATTGTTCCCC